TGGGTTTGTGCTAAGTTAGTACAAAATAGACACAGAGCAGCTCCCGTCACTGGCTGATGCTGCCGTCTTCCTGGTAGAGGCTAGCCCTGGGTTGAGGTTTTTCTGAACCTCATTTCAATGCTGTGGCAGATGCACAGCTGCCAAGTGTTGACCAGGGAGGAGTGAGGAGCTGCAAGTGAAGGCGGTCGCCAGGCCCAGGGCTCATAAGACGCTTCTGCCGTCTCTGCCACCAGCACACTTCTCTCTGCATCACCCACTCCTGAGCATGAGACACTGCGTGCACCTGCAGTGCCCAGGGTGGGGGGACGTTGGGCCGCCCCTGACGGAGCGTTCTCGGTCCACAGAGGATCCTGACCCACGCCTACTCCAGAGTGGTCCTGAGGGTCTTGGAAGCGGCCGTGGCGGCCAAGAAGCGCTTCAGTGTGTACATCACCGAGTCCCAGCCGGATTTGTCCGGGCAAGTACCTCCGCGCTTGGTCCTGCGCCCGGCAGCCATTCTCAGGGCGGACTGTGGGCTAGAGGCCATCGCAAGGAGCCAGGGCGTGCCCCGACCCGCAGCGTCCCGCGCTGCGTGCCTGCCTGTTCCCACCCGGGGAAAGCCACATGAGGCGCAATGGGTCGCAGTGCGGGCCCCAGGGGTGACCTAGCAGCTCAGTCAGAGGATCAGCAGCTTTTTCATCAGCTCCGTGACTCGATACTTTCCTCTGGAACTTTCTTGGGTTTTAGCTGATGTTCTCAAAATGTCATTTGCAGTAAGAAAATGGCCAAAGCCCTGTGCCACCTCAACGTCCCCGTCACCGTGGTCCTGGACGCCGCTGTTGGGTAAGCGCCAGCGTCCCCGGCTGCGATGATGGCCCCCGCCCCTCCCAGGGCTGGCCGGGAGCCGGGTTTCCAGGTTGGAGGTCTGAGTCCCGGTCATAAACCTGCACTGGAGAGCGCCCGCCTCTTAATTAATAGCTGCCTGAAACCAGCAAGCTCGTTACAGGCCTTGATGGCGCACACGGACGCCAGGCAGGAGGGCGCTAGCAGGGCGGCAACGGGAGCCGTTCATGTCGCCTGTGGTGCAAGGGCGGGGGCGAAGGTCGGGGTAAGGTCAGCAGAGGTGGGTGCTCCCCCTTCATCCGAGGACACGGTGCCCTCTGTGGCCCCTGCCTCCGTCTCAGCCATGCACCTGAGCCGAGGCCACATGCCAGCGAGCCTCAGAGGAGAAAACAGGAGAGTCTCGTCCAGAGGAGACGCAGAGGGAGTTAGGGCTGTTGATGGGCATTTGAAGCGTTCTCCCAGCGGCTGGCTTTAGAAGGTGAACCGGCCTTCACCCGCCTGAGAGCACATCAGGCCTTTAGATGCCGGGTCTGTGTGTGTGGAAGCAGAACAGGGAACAGCACCACGTAGGAAGGTGGCAGCCAGCCTGGGAGTCTTGCTCGGGTTCACGTCTGTGCGCACTGGGTGGCAGCGTGACGTGGGGTCGTGATGGCGGCAGTGCCAGGGCCGCCTCGTGTGCTAAGTGCCCTGTGAGCACGTTAGTTACAGGAGGAGCTCACCGTGCGGAGATGAGTATTAACCTTCGCAGGGGAGGCCTAACGAGCGGAGAAAGGCGCGTAAACTGTTTCCTTACCTTCCTCAGCTACATCATGGAGAAGGTGGACCTGGTCATAGTGGGTGCGGAGGGAGTCGTCGAAAACGGAGGCGTTATCAACAAGGTAGGAGCCTCGGTCCCCCGTTCCCTCCCAAGGGTGGAGATGGACCGCGGGCCTAGGTCTCGGCAGCAGTGCTGTGCGGTCACGTGGTCCTGCTTCCCCCATCCGCTTGCTTCCCCGTCCCAGAAGCCATTGCAGGGGTCAATCCAGTTTTGGTAAAATTCCCTTCTGCTTCGGAGACTCATCCATGTAAAGTAGGGAGTGTAATTTCTGTTTTCTTAAAACACATTTTAACTGAAATTGGGTTTTTTGGCTGGTTTTTCTTTTCTGTTTAGTGTATCTGACATGAATAGAATGTGTTAAAATTTCTCTGTCCAGCCCGGCCGGTGTGGCTCAGTGGCTGAGCATCTGCCTATGAGGTCATGGTCGATTCCAGTCAGGGCACGTTTCACTGTGCAGGACGTGGTATTTAGTGGCTTTGACCTGCATTTCCCTAATGACTCAGGACGCGGAGCATCTTTTCATGAGTTTATTGGCCGTTGTGTGTCTTTGGGAGAACATCTACTTTGTTTTCCTTTTTAAAAGCTCCTCCTCTGTGGTCCCGAAGTCAGAATTACATGTATCACGACCACTCGTGTGCTTTCTGTGGCCGCCCCGTGACCTGCTGTAGGTCTCACTGGCTCCCTTCTCCGACTTCCCAGATTGGAACCAACCAGATGGCCGTGTGCGCCAAAGCACAGAACAAGCCCTTCTATGTGGTGGCGGAGAGTTTCAAGTTCGTCCGGCTCTTCCCACTGAACCAGCAAGACGTCCCAGACAAGTTTAAGGCAAGAGCTTTACGTATTTGAAGGGGTTGAGTCTAAACTGAAACCTTTGAAAAAATGCTGAGAATGCATCAGGGAGTTATTCCCTTCCCGTGGCTGTGTCTTCCGACGTTGGGATAGAAACATAAATTGGTGGCGGTGAGACTGAGTCTAACTGGGCCCCAGAATTTCAGCCTTCCAGTCTCCCGCTCACTGAGCACTGGACACGGTGCAGAGGCAGGGGCTGGTGGTGAGCGGTGCAGCCTAGAGTCAGCTGCCTGGATCGGCCCCCTGACACTTCCTGCCCATGTGCCCGTGGGCAAGCCCTGTCCTCCTGAGCTCCGACCTGTGCAGGGGGAACAGCATGGGCCGAGTTAGCCGGTCCGAGACCACGCGTGGGCAGGCTGAGCAGTGCCCGCACAGGGTGGGCTCTGAGAATGGTTCTCTCGCGGGTCTGGAGGAATTGGCCCAGCTCATGGTGAGGGGACACATGCTGTGGGCTAGTGGCCAGGCAGCCGCCATGACAGCCCACCACAGCAGCAGCGCCCTCTTGTCAGTGTGCCGCTCAGCTGGCTTCTCCCCATTTGGGGAGTGGCCAGGCCAGCCCCCCGCCCCCAACTGCAGAGCCCTGAGCACTTGGGCAGACTAACGCGTGCTTGCTGTGTCCACAGTACAAGGCGGACACGCTGAGGTCTGTGCAGACTGGACAGGATCTCAGAGAGGAGCACCCGTGGGTCGACTACACACCCCCCTCCTTGATCACACTGCTGTTTACAGACCTGGGGGTGCTGACACCCTCAGCCGTCAGCGACGAGCTCATCAAGCTGTACCTGTAGGTCTTCCTGTACCTACAAGCTGTACCTACAGGTGCCTTCCTGCCTCGAGGTGACGTAGCTGCAGCGGGGGAGGAGCCTCTGGACCCCGCGTGAGCCAGGCCAAAGGGAACTGTTTTCATGAAGATTTATGGACTAAGGACTTAAAATCATAATTTTGGTGGAGTTTTTATTCTTTCCAGTCCTGTTTAAGCATGTTCCCGGTTCCTGTAAAACTCAACCTAAATTGTGCTGATGGTTCCCAGACACCGTCACTCACTTCTGTTTCTAGAAATACACGTTAGACTATTGGCTACTTAACCCTCCAGACCCCTTCCCTCGCCCTCCACCTGCAGTGATTGGCCTCGGCCGTTAGAGGATGCAGGCCCCTTAAGGAGCAGGCCTTCCTCACTGCGCAGGCCCCGGAGCATGCGGTGCCTCAAGAGGGGCAGAAACACCTGCTCAGGTAGCATTGCTTCCCCCTGGTGAACACGAGCCAGAGTGCAGCCTGGACAGCATCGAGCCAACGGAGCAGCTCACCGCCAGTGACGCCGCCCAGAATGTTCAGAAACGAAAACTGTGTCTGTGAAAGATGTGGATCTTAAAGGCTTTGGACCTGAACGTTTAGAAGTTGTACTTGGGAATACGCTCAGCATCTTTTCAAATAAATAACACGAAACACTGACTGGTCTCACTCAGTGCTGTGAGCTGAGCCAGGCCCCGCTGTGGAGACACGTACCCACACACAGTGTAGTCGATTAGAAGCAAACAGTTTATTCAACAGAAGGCAGCATCTCTCCCAAAACATGACTAGCTGCCTCGATTTCTCAGATACTCCCCAGTGACAGCCCTGGGGCCTGTTCTTAGGACAGAAGGAAAACCCTGGGCCACTGGCCGCTCTGTGCTGTGCCCTGTGCACTGCACCGGAGGGAACATGTGGCCCGTGCACTGCACCAGAGGGAACATGTGGCCTGTGCACTGCACCAGAGGGAACATGTGGCCTGTGCACTGCACCAGAGGGAACGCGTGGCCCATGCACTGCACCAGAGGGAACACAGTCCAGGGGCGGGGCACCCAAGGAGCTCGGGAGCCTGAAAGCACTAGGGAACTTTAAAAGCCT